TATGCCGTAATGGATATGGACACTTTCTGACATTTTCAAGATATTTGTTTAGTTGCTAAGTCATGTCTAATTCCTTGTGAGCCCATGGACTATAGCCCACCAGGCTCTTCTGTCCATGGGATTTCCCAGGCAAAAATATTGGAGTGGTTTGCCATTTCCTTCTCCGGGGATCTTCCTGACCCAGGGATCGAACCTGTGTCTCTTGCACTGCCAGGTGGATTTGTTATCACTGAGCTACCTGGGAATCCCATGGGTGTAGGAATATGTAAGTAAATAGGAAAGGTCTTGAAAGACACACATCAAAATGATAATAGTGGCTAATTCTTAGGAGGGAGTGAATCTGGAGGAAGGTGGTCAAGGAAACTTGAAGCTTTAAATTTCTTACAAGAAAATATTCATGTTATTTCTTTCTAAATTCAAAATAATGTTATTTTTAGTGGCATGAGAAGAGAGTTTGCAACTGGTTACTTTTTCTGGTCAAGTTGGTTACTTGACCAGAAGAGGATGCTAAGTCATCAGATGGGAATGATCTAGAGGCAAGTGTAGCACCACCAGGGGGCAGAGGTAAGAGCCCCAGTCAGCAAAGAGAAGGCAGCCAAGGAACAGGAGCCAGAAGGCAGAGGGAAGCCTGGAGGAGAGGACAGGAGCTCACCAGCGGGTCAGGGAGTCCTGGATGGCGTTGGTGAGCGCATGGCCCAGGTGCAGGGAGCCTGTCACGTTGGGGGGTGGGATGCACATCATGAAGATGCCCCGGGGGTTTGGTGCTGACACGCTGGAACGCTGACGGGGAGGAAGAGGGGTGCTTGCTAAGGCCTCATGTCACCTCTTCCACGGCCTGGCCCCTTCCTGGACCATGGATCCTTCAGCCCCGTCCCTCCCCATCCCCATCCCCTCCAGGCCTGGGCGGCAGTGTCCACTCACCCCATACTCAGGCCTGAAGAAGCCCTGCTGCTCCCACCAAGGGTACCAGGCAGCCTCGACGTACTGAGGGCTGTAGGAGTCAGGCATGGTGCCACTGATATCTGAGGGAGAAAGGCAGGGTCAGAGCCGAGGCTGGGAGCAGCTGGGAGAGGGACGAGGGGCCAGCAGAGAAGGACATGGGCCTCACTAGGCAAAGTAGTGGGAGCAAGGACAGAGGAAACAGGATACAAAGAAAAGAGAAAAGGAGGGTGGGGTGAAGAGTGAGGGTCTCTCTTCCCCCTCCTTTCTTTTAGTACCTTTCTTTTCCCCAGGTGGGGTCGGGAGATCGTAGGTAATGACCCCAGGATCCCGTTTCTCCCGCTTCTCTGGTTTTGGTTTCTTCTGCTTGGGAGGAAAAGGATATAGGCCTAGATATCAGGCACTCACCATGGCACCAACCCTCCATCCTGCTCCACCCTCAGCCTCTCACCTCCCCAGGGGGTGGCTGCTGCTGTTGGACCTTCTGCTTCTGCTGGAATTTCTCTAGTTTCTCCCGTTTCTTTGCCTCTTTCTTGAGTTGAGCAGCTGTCTTTGGGGGTGCAGGGACCTCAGAGCCTGGAAAGAGGCACAGAAATGCAGACCTGTCGCTGCAGGCCTGTGAAGAGCGCTGTTCACAGGGCTACCATGTCTCAGATGGCCTATTTATCTCCCCAAAGGCTCCCCCATGTTGACCTCCCACGTACCATCCCCCAGCTCCTGTCCCATTGATTCTGCTATTCCTAAGAGAGAAAAGAAAATGAGCCTATGAAAGGGCCCAGAGGAACCCCCTCCCCACCCACTCTCCATCCTTCCTCACCTGACTGTTGGGAGAGAGACCTGGCCCCTGAATACAGAACCACCTCTCCCAGTACGGCCCGGAATTCTGGCTGCTGAACACATGTGATAAACCAGCGAGTCACATTACCCCAGATCCGGCGGGCAGAGGGGTCCAGGACCTGGGGTGGGGAAAAGAAATGAATTATCCTTAGTCACCCTGTAGTGAGGTCCGGGGGAACCTGTCCTCATTCTTCCCCAGGTCCCAGTGACTCACATAACGGAAAGGCAGCAGCAAAGCCGTGACAGCTGCCAGGTCAGCCAGAGTTGGGGCCTCCCCAGCTAGGTAGGTGTGCAGTCGAAGCCATTCTTCCAAGGGGCTCAGGGCTCTGCCCAGGGCCGCCAGTGCAGCCTAGTGGGAAGGTGAAAGTGTATGAGATAACGCTTGGCCCACCACAGTCCCCACCCCCATGCAATCCATTTGGGCCTCCTTCCATTCCCACAGATTACCAGTTTCCTCTTCACTGAAATGATCATAATAAAAATTCTTCCCACTCATTCAATAAATGCCTACTGAAAATTTTTTTGGCGGGCTGGGTCATAGGGCATGTGGGATTCCTTGAACAGGGATCCAACCATGCCCCCTGCAGGGGAAGCACAGAGTGTATGAATCACTGGACTTGCAGGGAAGTACCCTACCGAACACTTATTATATGTCAGCTGCAATATACTAAGCACAAAAGGCTAAAGATTACATGAGGCAACACGGTAATTGCTTCAACAAATATGTATTAAGTACCTCCTGCATGCCAGGCACTTATCTAATGAACAAGGAAGCAGTTTGAACAGATGGAGTCCATGACCTGTTGGAGCTTATATTCTAGTAGCGGGGGGCAACAATAAATGTGCAAGTATATAATGCATTACCCTACTGTTCTCCTTAAAAGCCCTGAAGAAAAATAAATGAGACTGAGGGGGAGAGAGAACCCCAGAGGGGGAGCCCTCTATTTCAATAGGGTAGTCAGGATATGAGGGGTTAAGTCAGGATCTAAGTCATATATTCATTTCATTCATTCATTCGTTTGAAAACTATCCGCCATACGCTCAATACTCTGCAAGGAGGTGGTGTTATTAGGCCTGTAAGGCACAGCTCCATTCAGGAAGAATTTACATTTATAATCTGGTGTGATTATCTCTCCTTTCCCCTGCTTTCCTTCTTCATTTCTTTTCTCCTTTGTCTTCTTCCAGCAGCTGTCTTCTCTGACTGCCTCTCCTCACCTCTTCTTCACCCAGTCTTTTCCTACAATTCATAGTAACCTCTAACTAACCTCCTCAGTTTCAGATTCACCAAACTCAGAGACTTTTAAAGCACCTGGCACTAGATTATGTGCTCTGCACATATCTTTTAACCTTCTCAACATGTTCTCAATTTTCATTTTCATAGACATAAGAAGACCAAGGCTCAGAGAGTTTAACCTGCCCAAAGCTACCAAACCAAGTGGCAACCCGGGATACGATCAGTCTTTTTCAACGTTTGATACGCTATCTTCCTGACTCACCATCCATTCCGACTTTTGCTTTCTTCTTCTAAATTTCCCCCTCCCCACTTCAAGCTTCTTCTCACCTGGGGGTCTTGGGCCGAGCTTCGGAGTCCCAAGGCCGGCAGCGTAGCCCCACAGGCAGCTGGTATTAGCTCGGTGTCAGCGTAACTGACCCACTGTTGGACCAGGACGGCTGCCCGACTACCCCCGGGACCCCCCAGGCCTGCTGGCCACAGCAGCTGGGACACAGCCGTGGCTCCCCACACCCAGAGCCCACCGGGACCCTGTTCCAGGGCTGGCAGACGGGGTGGAGGAAAAGGAGTCCGGCTGGCAGGGGGCGGTTGGAGACAGATGCGGGGGTGGGCTCCTCCCCATCCCGGGCCCTCCCCAGCTTCCCCGTAGCGAGCAGCTATGAGGGCTCGGAGGCTGGGGAAGGCATCGGGGTGAGGAGAGACGTACAGAATGGACATGGTTACGCGGGAGGTCCGAACGCGGTGGAAAAACCCTAAGGAGAAAGAGAGACAGGGTAAGACCGAGGCATCTAGGACTAAGTATGACTGGGCCTCAAGACCCGAGGACCCAGTTCTCGGGGTGGCAGTGACAGTGGGGAACTAACTTCCCGCGACCGCGGGCCCTCGGGGACTGTGGGAAGCTCGTAGGAGCCCCTTGGCGGCCGTGGGACGCGGGTTCGGGCTGCATGTACGTACTGGAGGGAGGTGGTCACACTGAGCCGGGCATCCACCTCATAGCCGGGCGCCGGCCGAAGCTGGACTGGCCTGGCAGTTGCGGCAGAGGAATCCGGCGGGCAGGGACGACGGGCGGTTCTCTGGGCGACCCTAGCTCCCTGCGACAGCCGCCCGGGCCGTCGGCGCCCACGTGTCCCCCCCACCCCTTTGTGACTGCGAGCGCTTCCGGGCCCGCGGGTCCTGGCGCGGGGGACCGTGCCCCGCCTGCGTGTGCAGACGCGGTCCTGCTGGACGCTGGCCTGGGGGTAGTCACGCCGCCCGCTGCAGATCGCGCTCCTGAGGAATGGCGCGGGCGTGGGCACGGGGGTGGCGGGGGGAGGACGCCCCCCCGGAACCGCGACCCGGTCAGGCGCCGCCGCGGACACCCCGCGCGGGTCCTCGGCCTGGAGGGAGGGCGGTGCCGAGCGGGCAGCTAGGGAAGCGACTGGGAGAGCGCTACCTTCTGCGGACGGCGCCCGAGTCTGGGGTCCGTTTGACCAAAGGCCCCGGCGTGCAGGTTCCCCGCCTCCTAACCTCCCGGGCCTCATTTCCTCCTCTGTGGGAAGAGGGTCACGCTGGAGGGCCTCTAAGGTCCCCTCATGCTGAGAATTCTTTATCTGTAGCGGGAACTCTATTTGCTAACTGCGTGTGTTCAATGCCAACAACTCTCCACAGCCAAAATTGTACCTTGTTTGTATTTATCTACAATAGATATCGGGGAAAACTGTACTGATTTGGAGGGCTTGAGGAAAAAATCCAGCAGCATCAAACGCACTTTTGGTGTTTCATTAACTTTCATATTAATGGAAGGACAGCAAGCACTGTAGGTACAGTGTAAGGCTATGTTGGGTAGGCAAATGTTCAGAAAACGGCATAGTCCAGTTGGGGTAATGATATGGTTTGTACCAGGAGAGTAGTAGCAGATAATGCTGGGTAACAGGGATAACAGGGCTTGGACGAATTCAGCATGCCTTTTCCACCCTCTCCAGCCCCCTTCCCAAAGCACACACAGAACCAGAACTCGAATTTGCTTCATAAATTTTATTCCCGATGCGGGATAGATTCCTTCTCTCCCCACAATAAATCACGTGCTACCCTGGAGAGCTCTGAGAGATTCTCCCACCACCTCCAGGGAAGAAGTGAGAAAGGCAGGTGCTGGAGACAGGGAAGGCTTCTCAGTTCCTCAGCCTACTCAACAGAGGACAGCCGCTCCCCATTATTAGCCCTCTCATCCACATTCCTTGAAAAAAAAAAAAAAAGAAGCAGCTTTTGCTATCAAAAAACAAACACCTCCAGAAGTATGGGAGGGAGGCCTCCGGGGCTGGGACATGATGTTAAGGGTCACCAATGGAAGGAGGGGAAGGTAGGAGGAACTATCACTGCTTCTGCTGCAGGGCCTCCTTCCTTGCTGCATCTTGTAGCAACTGTGTGTCGACTTCATCTGCTGGCAACTGCACATAGCGAACCACTGAGCCCCGGATGAAGCAGTTCTTCACTGATAACTAGACAAAGATAGGCAAATGTGAAAACACCCTTAAAAAATGCCCTCCATCCACCCAGGGACCTCCTGGTTTCTTTGAGGTGTTCCTCTTCTCTACTATCCACAACTCACCATGTGAGGGTATTTCTCAGGGTCTGTGACACTGATGTCAGTTAGTTTGATGTTGAGATACTAAGAAAAGATGAACACCATCATTAAAACTAGAGACAAGATGAAAGTACCCAGCTCTCAAGCTCTCCCATTTCCTTCCCCAAGACCCCATTCAGGGCCCTTATTATAATCTCACCTGATCCACAGAATGGAGAGTTCCACAGATGCTGTTATGGGCAGAGAGAGGGTAAAACCAAATTAATTTATACCAAAGTCAACACAGAGGTGACTTCAGAGCAGGCGATAAGAACATGGTTGGGGGAAGTAAAGGACTTGAAGAAACCATAAAAGGTACAACCAGAAAGAGGCATGACTAAGCTCTGGAGTAGGAAAGAAACTGTTTCCAGAGCAGTGTGCTATTTTAGACCTCACATTTCTCCCTAAACCAACTCACTCTTGTAGCTGCCATCAGACAACTGTTATTATGTGCCAGACCTGTATTCTCCATAGTATTTGTAATCTTTACAGCCATTTCATTGGGTAGCTATTATGAAACATCCAGGGGCCCAGAAACATTTTGTAACTTGGCCAAGTTTAGAACAAGGACTTTGATCCAGGCCTGTCTGACCCCCCCAAATCATCAGTTCTTTTCAAATACTACTGCTTTGGAACCAGAGCCCCACATGTAATGTATATAAATTAACAAACTATCAGTGTTCTTGATGATGTAGGCACAAGGGATGTCCTCTCCCTCTACCCTTTAAGCCACCAGGGAAGCCCAATATAAATTAACTAGCAGTGCTCTTGATGATGTAGGCACAAGGGATGTCCTCTCCCTCAATCCATGAGCCCCCTGCAATGTTAAAGAGGAATGCTATCTAAATACTAGTGCTTCAAGCCAGACCCTCTCCCAATCCTGTAATTTCTGCCAATGGTTTCAACATTGTCTCACAACCTCAAACCCTGTAAATCGAGGACCCTTCATGTCCTACAAATCCCCATTGTTTGCTGATGTCTAACATTTCTGCAATTTCTCTAATTCTCTCTGACAAACCAAGGTCTAATGACTTTACAGCTCAATCCAGGCTAGCCTCCAGCCTGGCTACCCTCATCCTAACCCTCCTGCATGTCACCACCAGATTCTAAGTTCCTTAGAACCTGTTTCTCAAACATTAATGTGCACTCAAAGATTCCAAGAATCTATGACAAAAGAGGAAACATAAGCTAGTGTAAAAAAAAAAAAAAAGTTAGTGTAGTATGTGTATAGTGTGCTAAAGGTTGTCAATAGTTTTCTTTGTAAGAATAACTGCTCTTTATTGACTTTTGTGTTAAAAAATTGTTAATAAATAGCAGTTTTTAAAACATCCTTATCTTGCCAAAATTCAAGTTGTCCGTTCTCTGTTGGGCCATAATTTTTGTAAAATTCTAAGTATTTGAAATCCAGTGTCAGACCAACTGCTTCAGTGGTGATTTCACCATATTCCTGGATGCTTAAAAAACAACAAAAAACAAAAAAACCTTGGTGCCCTATCACCTACTGCAGCTGTGAAATAACTTTCAGGAATTGCATAAAGTGGTAACTTTTCTTCAGTCCCTTTAGAATGAGATACTTGGCACAAAAGTGGTCTGACACCCAGCATGAGAGAAAGAACACTTCTCCCAACCCAATGGATTACCTTTGAATCTTTAAGTCCTTGCTTTAAGGTCTAGGGCTATAACAACAGTTATTCTTGCCATTTGGAAAACCCAGGAAGAAAAAAAGAGGAAAATAAAAAACAAGTCATCTTACAGAAGTGATGAAAGTAGTTGTGGTTTCCACACTTGTCTCTCTATATGGACCCAATTTATATGCCATCAATATCACATGCATTGCGGGTACCATAGATCAGAAATCTCTGACCTAAAAGGCAAATAAATCCCTTGCTTCACCATTCTGCCATGTCAATGTTTCCCCCACTAAGAAATAATCTCACATAGAAATGTAGAAGAAACTGCTGGGGAGACAATACATTGATTCAAACTTTCTAAAGGACAGTCAGGTAATATGTTTTGATATTTAAAATGTACATTTCATTCAAAGGGTTTTTTACTTCTAATGAAATGAGATGTATACAAAGATTTACGCTTGAGGATGTTCAGGGCAAAATCACTTGTAAAAACAAAGAACTGGGAACAGCCTAAGTGTCCAGCAACAAGGTTTTGCTGGCTTTCTAGCCAGCTTAGAAAAATGCCATTCAGACATTAACAACATTAAACATCAACTTTATTGACATGGAAAATACCCACAACATACTGTTAAGTGAAAAGCAAGTTTCACAACTGCATAGAGACTATACCCTGTTTTTAATTTAAAAAGGGGTGAAGTGAAAGTTGCTCAGTCATGTCTGACTCTTTGTGACCCCATGGACATAAAGTCCGTGGAATTCTCCAGGCCAGAATACCGGAGTGGGTAGCCTTTCCCTTCACCAGGGGATCTTCCCAACCCAGGGATCGAACCCAGGTTTCCTGCATTGCAGGTGGATTCTTTACCAGCTGAGCCACAAGGGAAGCCCAAGAATACTGGAGTGGGTAGCCTGTCCCTTCTCCAGTGGATCTTCCTGACCCAGGAATTGAACCAGGGTCTCCTGCATTCCAGGGAAGCCCATTAGAAAGGTATTGCGGGTGTGTGTGCAGATAATGGAATTTAAGTTCTGGTTTTGTCTTTTACTAGTTGTGTAGACCTAACCAAGTTTCTTAATCTATCTTAATCTTAATCTTCTCTTCAGTTTCCTCATGTGTAAAACTGCAACAATAGTGTATGTCATGTAGAGATGTTCTGAAAATAAAATGAGTTAAACAATTTATTCAGGTCTGTGTTAGACATCAGGTACACAGTGGTAAGCTTAAACATGGTCTTGGCCCTGTAGGAAAGATGGTTCCTAAACAGTTAATACATTTCTATGAAATCATAATTTGAGAAGCACCCTATAGCAAGGAAAAAGACTTTGTAACAGAATGGTGTACTTGGCTAGAACCAGAAATGTCCAGGGATATAGCGTTTAATCCAAGTCCTGAGAGATGATTAGAAGCTAATGATACAAGGGGACAGGGGATATAAAAGCTGTACAGACAGAAGGAGCTGCACCAGTCTCCTGTGTATCTTTTATATTTTCTTCAACAAAAGGGAGATTATGCCACATATACAGTACTGCAATAGCTTTTCCTATTGGTATCTCATTTCTATGTGACAGCTATATTATATGGAAATATCACAATCAAACCCATTCCCTATTTATGGCTATTTCCCCCCCAACTTGTGACTATTACACACACACACACAAATCTACCATCTTTTTACATACATTGTTACTTGTGGAACTGATACTTCGATTTCTAGAAGTTGGGTCTGCCCTGTTTTCTCTCTGGTACTTACTACTTATATATTTCTTTATATTGTTTTCCAATACATGATACGACTCCTCAGCTAATCTGTAAGTTTAAGACATAAGTCATTTCTTCCTTTTGTATCTCTCCCACCTTGCCTAGTGTTCAAATACTCCTCAAATTAAACAGGTTTCAGGGCGCTCAGCACATCCACCCACTACAAACTTGTGGGAACAAGTACCTACCTCAGGTCATTCTTGAGTTCCACGACCACATCCTTGCCGACAAGGGACTTGAAAAAGGAATAGAAGAGCTATTGGGCGAGAGGGGGAAAACCATCATATGGGAAGGGACATAGTAAAGAGGTATGAACCCCTGCCAGTATTACCAAACACTGGTATTGGGATCCCGCCACATCTCTGGCAGTTCTCTAAACTTCACAGGAAGGAATACTTCACAGGAATACACAAGAAGGAATACTCGAATGAACAGCTGAAGCCCTGACGACGATGCATACTACGAGCCCCTGACATAAAGCCCTAGAGTCATCTGCCCTGCACACCTCGGGTCTGCCTCAATGGACTCTCTCTCCTGGGGTCCTGCCCACGCCTCCTAGATAATTGTATTAAGTATTCCACCCGCCCCTTCTCGGAGCCCGGTCTCCGTCAAGGAAATGCTCCTTGAGGTCTACTGTCCCTGCTGACTCTCTCATAGAGGGTAAAAAATTCCATTTGCTTCCAAGTCTCTTCTCAAAGAACTTGAGGTGAGGAACCAATAATGGAGGGAAAATCTAGGGCCCAACGCCAGCACAGAGGAACAAAGCCTCCAAAGGGACGCCCACCCCGCCCCCAACCGTCCAAACCGCCCGCGCTCCCCAAGGGCGCCCCCTTGTGACGTCACGGTACCTACCATGGTGCTTGCGCCGCCGGCTCTCCGCCGGACCGGGAAGGCGCGGGCCGGGTGCCGTGGGCCGGAGGCCTGGCGGGAATTGGAACGCGAGCCCGCGCGTGGGGTGGGGTGGGGTCGCGCAGGCGCAGCGGGGAGGCGCAGCGGAGAGGCGCAGCGGAGAGCTCCGAGTGATGGAGAGCGAACGGCTGGATCACGGCTCAAGGGGAGCCGGCCGGGTAAAACCGAGGAGAAAGCCAAAGCCGGGAGAGGGGCGGGGCTTCCCGCCTTCCGACTTCCTCCCAGAGGGGCGAGCTCCCACCGCGCAGGCGCGGGCCCCAACTGCGCCCGGAGGGTTAAAAAGACTGTCTCAGCGCCCCTTAGGTTTTTGTTCCTTTCTATGACAATAAATTCACTCCCGGCCCGATTTGCTCTTACCCTAAAGACACTTCCTATTGCAGACTGACTGCCGGGGAGCTTGTGAAAATCCATGATGATTTGTACACTTTTCTCTGTATGCTACACTTGAGTAACAACAACAACAAAAATTGGGAAGTCCCCGAGATCAAGAGCCTGCACGCCAGCAAATCTTGATTTTATCAAAGGTTCCCAGTAAACACATTACTCTCTCAGTACACATTTCTTTTACACTTTGCCTACGGCTGTCCTGTGAAGGACTGAGTAAAACAGAACACAATGTATCCTGGATAAAAGTACCCATTCTAATATTTCACTTCCAAATATTTCCCTCTCAAACACAAAGGGACACTAATGCAGTAAATGCAGTTACACATACTTCTATATCATGTTCCCCCAGGCTTTATAAGTATGCGAAATTATGACAATAGGTGAAGGTATTTTTTAAGGGATAAGCTCGTAAGTTTTTCATTTCTCTTCTTGCATAAAAGTACATATTTGTCAGGAGGTTTTTGTTGTTGTTTTGTTAGGAGGTTTTTTTAAGAAATATATTCAGCAGGTAAAGGACTGTAATATTGAGTGCGCAGGGGCAGGATCTCCTAGGCCCCACCAATGAGTGACATCAGGACATCAAGCAGAAGTTGGCCCTTGCCCCAACTCCCCAGCTCAACCTTAAACACCTAAATCAGTCAAACACTTAAAAGCAGTATCTAAATTAGCAGCTACTCTAACTGGGGCTAAAGGTTAAAGGTGCCTGATAATCAAAAAGATTTTTCCTTCTTCAATTAGCTCATGAAAATTCAAATACTTTGCCCTTACCAGCTTAATCATTCACAATTAGCTCACAAACAGACCACACGTGGTCACTCCACACACTCTCCCTTTTTACAAGATACACTCAGTCTAAAAATACCACAAGTAATTTGCTTTAGGAACAAATTTACTGAGGGACAAATAACCATCCACACAGGAAAAAGGAAGTTGGGGAGGCTGGAAATAAATAACAGACATTCAGATTCTTCAAATGGTTCTGAGAGGTGCCTGGTTTTCCTAAGAGTCTCATTCCAGAGTCAGAAATTTGTTGGAATGTGTCAGAAAATTGTTGGGAGTGTGAAAAGATGGTATATGAGACTCCTCCATCAGAATCCAAAAGGGATAGTCACTTACATTCAGGTCCAGTCAATTCAGGAATCGTAACCATGTTTGAAGATGAGGGCAACAAAATTCATCTTAGAGGCACCCTAGAACTGTCCAGCTCCACATAAGATTAATCTACTTCTTCAATTGTGGGGCCTGTTGCAGCCCTTCCAGGTGTATACCCTGTTCCACAGGAAGGCCCAGTGCATCCTCCCTGGTAGAGTTTTGTGATGATTGGGTTACACACTTGCTCCAATTCCTTTCTCTTATGATCAAACTCATCCTTCTCAGCCAGTTGATTGGCCTCCAGCCACGAAAGGACCTCATTGCATTTACTCAGTATTTTCTTTTTATCAGACTCACTAATCTTGCCCTGTAGGCCTTCATCACTCACAGCACTCTTCATGTTAAAAGCATAGGATTCTAAGGCATTTTTTGCAGCAATTTTCTCTCTCTGGACCTCATCCTCAGCTTTGTATTTTTCAGCATCCAGAACCATGCGCTCGATCTCCTCCTTGCTCAGCCGGCCCTTGTCATTGGTAATGGTGATCTGGTTGGCCTTGCCCGTGCTCTTGTCCATAGCTGTTACATTGAGAATACCATTGGCATCGATGTCAAAGGTCACCTCAATCTGGGGCACTCCCCTGGGTGCCGGAGGGATTCCAGTCAGATCAAAGCGCCCCAGCAGGTTGTTGTCCCGAGTCATGGCCCTCTCGCCCTCATACACCTGGATCAGCACGCCCGGCTGATTGTCTGAGTAGGTGGTGAAAATCTGTGTCTGCTTAGTGGGGATGGTGGAGTTGCGCTTGATTAGTACAGTCATGACTCCCCCTGCGGTCTCCAAACCTAAAGACAGGGGAGCCACGTCCAACAAAAGCAGGTCCTGTACCTTTTCAGACTTATCCCCCATCAAAATGGCTGCCTGAACTGCAGCCCCATAGGCAACTGCCTCATCGGGGTTGATGCTCTTGTTGAGATCACGACCATTAAAGTAGTCTTGCAACAGCCTCTGAACCTTAGGGATTCGAGTAGAGCCCCCTACTAAGACAATGTCATGGATTTTAGCTTTATCCATCTTGGCATCCCGAAGAGCCTTCTCCACAGGCTCCAGGGTGCCCCTAAACAGGTCTGCACACAACTCTTCAAACCGGGCTCTGGTGATGGATGTGTAGAAGTCAATGCCTTCATAAAGTGAGTCAATTTCCAAGTTGGCCTGGGTGCTAGATGACAGGGTCCTCTTGGCCCTCTCGCAGGCAGTGCGCAACCGCCTCACAGCCCGCTTGTTCTGGCTGATGTCCTTCTTATGTTTCCTCTTGAATTCTTCCACAAAGTGGCTCACAAGCCTGTTGTCAAAATCCTCTCCACCCAAGTGGGTGTCCCCGGCTGTGGCCTTAACCTCAAAAATCCCATCATCTATGGTCAGGACGGACACATCAAATGTGCCTCCACCCAGATCAAAGATCAAGACATGTCGCTCTCCCTGACCTGCTTTATCTAAGCCATAGGCAATGGCAGCAGCAGTGGGTTCATTGATAATTCTTAGCACATTGAGACCTGCGATAACACCTGCATCCTTGGTGGCCTGACGCTGAGAGTCATTGAAGTAAGCTGGCACAGTGATCACAGCATTAGTGACAGTGTAGCCCAAAAAAGCCTCAGCAGTCTCCTTCATCTTAGTCAGTACCATAGAAGAGATTTCCTCAGGATAAAAAGCTTTCTTTTCCCCTTTGTAGGACACCATTACCTTGGGCTTGCCTCCTTCGTTGATTACTTGGAAAGGCCAAAGTTTCATATCTGATTGCACGACAGGATCATTAAATTTTCTGCCGATCAGACGTTTGGCATCAAAGACAGTGTTCTGGGGATTCATGGCTACCTGGTTCTTGGCCGCATCGCCGATGAGCCGCTCGGTGTCTGTGAAGGCCACGTAGCTGGGGGTGGTGCGGTTGCCCTGGTCGTTGGCGATGATCTCTACCTTGCCGTGCTGGAACACCCCCACGCAGGAGTAGGTGGTGCCCAGGTCGATGCCGATGGCCGTTCCTTTAGCAGAAGCCATGGTTTTTCTAGGTCTGTGGGAAAAGAATGAGATAAAAGTTTTTCAGTGAGAACTTTTAAATTTTATTTTTAACTGTGGGAAAATACACACAACATAAATTTACCCTCTTAACCAATTTTTGACATACAATTCAGAAGTCAGTCCACTCACATTGTTGGCCAACGAATCTCCAGAATTTTTATCTTGCAAAACAAATTTTATACCCATTAAACAACTCCCCATTTCCCCTCACCTCCCAACCCTTGAACCACCACTAGTCTACATATTTTTTGGGGGCCTACTTTTTGTCTCTCAGAATTTGACTCTTCTAAGTACCTCACATGAGTGAAATTATACACTATTTTTTGTGTGTGACTGGCTTAATTTACCATAATATCCTAAAAGTTCATCTATTTTACAGCATATGTCATAATTTCTTGCATCTTTATGGCTGAATAACTTTTATTGTATGTATATACCACATTTGTTTATTCATTCTTTCTGTGGCACTTAAATGGTTTCCATTTTATGGCTATTATGAATAATCCTGCCATATAATCCCTGTACAAACATCTCTTCCAAACAAGGTTTTTGGACAAGATAGAAAAACTCCTAGCTAACAGGCATGAAGAGGGAGGGCAGTGGCATATTGATTCTAATTCCTCACAGGGCCTCACTCCACGGTCCTGTTTCTGTGTCTGTGAGAGTTTATTCTAATATTGTACAAGCCTCCCGATGAACTCATTATTTGAAGTTCTAGTCTCCTCAGAAGACATCACTTCCATAGGTGGGTTTAGCAACCCTGCCGATCCTCTTTTACCCTCTATTAGGGATTGTGGAGATTTCGGCCAGTCTGAAGAATGCCCCTAAGAACCCAATCAAGCCCTCGTGAGTTTTCTCAGGTAAGGTGGTGCTCTCTAAGACTTTCTCTAATCTCAAAAACAGAACTCCAGTTATCTGGAGACAATAACCTACCAGCTCCTTCTTTTTTTTTTTTTTTGGTAGCTCTAAGCAATTCCAGCCACCTTTGCGGCCCTTAAAGGAGCCCCCTTCGCTGACTAGCCACCACACCCATACCTTATATTTAAACAAACTAGAGAAGTTTCCAATACCTCCTCAAACCAGGACCTACTAGTCTTGCCTATTCCCAGCCCATTCCAGTCACAGCACTTGTGACTCACCTAGTGTCCCGCCGCCTTCGATCCAGTTTGATACGGTTCAGATTGCGGAGCCCCTATAATTTGGGGCTCCTTCAATAGCCAAACTGCGCAGGCGGTGTCCCCCCACCCCCCACCCGCCCCGTCATACGACTTTGAGTTGGGTCCAGACCTATCATCCTAATTCTCCACTAGCCCGTGAGGTCAGAGGCAGCACCTCCATTGTAACGCGACTAGAGCAGGGCGGCGTCAACACCACCGCCCCAACTGCCGACCCACCAGCCCCTCCCATCTTTTCCCCTCCCATTACCCCTTTCCGAGACAGTGCCAGCCAGCAAGTCCCAGAAGAGTCTCGAGAGTTCTGGGAGGAGTGGCATGCAAGGCGCTGATTGGTCCCAGAAAGCCAGGGGGGCAGGACTTGAGGCGAAACCCCTGGAATATTCCCGACTTGGCAGCCCCACTGAGCTCGGTCATTGGCTGAGGAGGGAAAAGGCGGGGCTAGATGAAGAATTATA